AAATCAGTTATATGCAACAAAATTTTGTAATTTTCAATTTCTGTGTACCTACTTACCTATTTTAACTTAGCCGTACAAAATATTATACTCGGTGTATATTATGCTCAAACAGTTAAATTATTAGGTATCAACAGTATAAATCGGGTAATATGAATTACGAATTTCAAGTTACCACAAAATGTTAACACTTTTATTGATATAACTGATTTAAAAAAAATTCAGTATTTTATTCAATTTATTTTAATTAACATGATATGATTATGTTCAATCAACTGCCATCGCGGACTCATGGAACTATGTAGGGATCTTGAAAAATAACAATAATACTATTGTTATAATTGACATTTTGTTGTAATCGATTTTATTAAAAGCCATATCAGCTGAATATATTGTTTTTATTTTTATAATAATCTATGTATAARTGTATAAAATATAAATCCATTTTTTTCATAAAGTTTAGTCATATGAATTTGTATTTTTGTTAACTTTAATGATAAACAATTTACGTCCTAACCTCCTAACACGCCGGTTTTGACGTTTTTGTATCGAGTAAATAGTAATGATTTATACTAGAGCGTGCATTATAATTATTAATTTATATTTGAATATGTTATGTATAATGTACATGTTGTAATTATTCATTATAGATACTTTTTAACGGTGGAACAATACGATTTCCATATCGTACATAACGCAACTGACGTGCGCATAAACACGCACACAAACACACACACACACACACATGCACACAAAATAAATAGTTCTGAACATTTGTTTACTATCTGTACCAGTTCGTCAACACGAACTTATTTATGTTAAAAGGCAATAAACATTTTCAAGTATCTACCTACAATACAGACTAGGTACCGTGCGCTACAGAGTCGTCAATACATATATGATATATATTATATATTTACTATTTACTTATTTTGATGTATATATTCAGTAAGACCACGAGAGTCGTTCGAAAAATGGTCTGATGTTTTGTTAATGTATCAAACAACGTCGGGACATTTACATAGTATGCACGTATTAGGTAGTTTACCTACCTGCAGCTTACACTA